AAGTTTCTGTTGGTGTAATTGGAACAACTGAAACTACGACTTTCGGTGTCGGCTTTGGTGATGTCTATTTCAGAGATGAAGTTTGGGTTAGAATTTCATGTGGTGGAGATTTGGTTTGCAGAGGTGAACGAGGAGGAGTGTTACCTCGTGGAGATGCTGGAGGGACATTATCCTCTTCATCTTGTTCAGAATGATCAGGACTTGGAGGAATTTGTTGTTTTGACTGCTTCGCCATTTTCTTTATCTTCTTTGGCTTGGAAGAGGACTCCAACTCTAACTTTCGCTTCATTGATTTGGAGGGTTTTGGTTTTTCCTCCTAGGTTGGTTCCTTCTTGGCCAGCCACTCGTTTCCCCCTGTTTCTCGTCTTATCAACAACTTCTAAGGCACCCTGCTGTTCAGGAGTAGGAACTCTCGGCTCCTTTGGTGGAAGTAGACGGTAATCAGCCATCACTCTGCTTTCGGCTGTCACACCCCTATACATGGTTTTCGGTATAGAATCATAATGAGTAAACTTTGTGGGGTCCGAGAGAATGAACTTCTTAGTATGAAAAGTGGCAATGGAAGCGATAAGAGCATCCTTCATCGTTGGAACCTCCAGAGTATCGATTGCCCGTCGCGTGATGAGAGTCCAAAACCTTCCACATGAAATTTCTGATTAACGAGTGGAAGTGTTAAGGCTCTGCATGACCTGAGATGATATGATGGAGCCATAGTCCAGGTTGATACCAGTATACAGACTATAGAGAATGGTCAGGAACCCTTTACTCGTGCCATCCGATCCAACACTTCTTTCCGCCAAGCCTTTAATGAGTAAGGTGAGAAGATCGTTCTATTGCGAAGGCAGACATGACTTCTTAACTTTGGAAATAGTGGTCAATACGTCTGTATAGCCCATCTCATACAACATTGAAAAGATTTGTGTTGTTGTGATAAATTACGGAGAAATCACCGGAGAATCCACCGCCAGATGAAGTAAGGAACAACACCTCCCTTTGGAAATAGAGGCTTTCTTGGAGTGTATTTGAAAATATATGCGTTCCTTGTTCTTGTCATATGATGCTGAAGAATAAACTTGAGATAATAAGGACATCGGAACAGCCTCGAACTGGGTTAATGCAATGACCAAAGGAGAGTACTTCAAGCACTCAACAACTTGTAGCATATAAGAATCATATAGAAACGGATTAAGTTCTATAATATTCTGATTAGGTTTGATGGTTAGAAAAGCAGATGACGTTGTTTGATCTTGTGCAGAAGATGAGGTTGCCATTGTTGAACAAGTGAAAAAGATGAACATTTAAAATCGCCATTACAGTGTAGAAATTTTGTGACTGGTAGAAGAAAATGAATCGTGCCAGCCCTTTATATACCATTGCCAGGAGAGAGAAAATCGTGATGATAGTGATGTTATAGCTAAACTGTAGCTGGAAAAGTGGGATTTGACAGGTAGGGTGTTCCTAGGTATGCGGCAGCACGCGTGCATAGAGTGACCGTTCAAATTCACGTGCCCAAAAAGATTTTGACGATCTGGTTTTGAAATAGACTACACCATCCGAATCTGAATTTTCCTAGATTCACTAGAGGACAAATAAACTCAAACAAACCATCAACAAAATGTGGGAAAATTAAAATTTTTCGTGCATTAGAATGACAAACGATTAGGTAATAAAGCAAATGTGTATGGGATGTGAGTGATGTCTGATCATCAGACACGAAACAAGGGATTCCGGGCAAGAATCGCTTCCTTCAAAGTCAAGAATGACTTGAAGTGCTTGTGTGGATTCCCAAGAATACGATCAAGTGTTTGCAAATAAACATTGAAAGGCTTCTGTTTATAACATAGGCTCAGGGTATGTTATCCTCAACCAAACACCGATTCTCAAAATAAGACCGAGTGTTGGAAGAAGTACTTGTGAGACCGATGTGGGCTGTTGAATAAGTAGGTATGGTATATTATGCTATGACAAAAGAGTGTGTAGAAATCTCAAAAAAAAAATTGGATCTTTTTGGGAAGAATAGTCTTGGTTTTAGACAAATTCATAAAAGACCTCGTAAAGAACAAATATTTCATTTGGTAACAAGTAAGATCTTGAATATAGAAATTCACCGTTAATTCATTTTAGGTGTTGAATTTTGGGTTTCACTCAGCATGTGGTATACGCATCTAAGATCATAAACATAGATTTTGTGCAACCATAAACCTCAGTGGTAAGAACCGAGAGTCTCAAGGGTTACAATTGTGAACCGAGAGTAGATGGAGAATAGTTTAAGGATGGCGAAAGAAACATAAGAACCTTATGCTATAAAACAGTACAAAGCAGAGAAATTCTTGACTCATGTGAGAAGAGTAAGGTGGCTCTAGACCGAGTAAAGAAAAATAGCCTCATTGGGAAGAAACTATAGGTATTGATCGAATCATGAAGGCCTTGCTCTAGGTCTTGGAGGCTTAGGTTAACATGCAGCAACATGCTTCTAGGGACCCTTAACTAATTCATTGAAGAAACATCATACCTTTCACGACTCCAAATTCTATGATACGTGACCCTCGTTACTGAATATTCTGAAAAATAAAAAACAATTATACCACACAAGCAAAATGAAAGAGATTAAATATTCTGAAAAATTATAAAAACGGAAAAAGATAATGTTTTTGGATTTTTGAAGTTTTCTGGAAAAAAAAAAACAGAAAAAAAAATATTTTTGAATTTTTGAAGTTTTCTGAAAAAGAATAAAAACATAAATAAAGAAAATATATTTTTTTTAAAATTTTTGATGTTTTCTAAAAAAGAATAAAAACAGAAAAAGAAAATATGTTTGAATAAGCATAAAGCAAATGAAAGATAAGAAAAGAAACAAAAATAATTTACAATCGACACGTTATTTTGAGTGAAGCGAAATAGACCGAGTGATCGGTTCATTTTGGTTCCCAAATTTTAAGGAGCCGAAATAGACCGAGCGGTCAGTTCATTTCGGTTCTCAAAATTTTAGGAGCCGAAATAGACCGAGCGGTCACTCCATTTCGCTTGTCTGATTTTTAGATAAAGGATTGCGGATTCGGTACTGACTCTGCTTCCATCATACCCAAGCCTTGTAGGATTCTGTTAAAGATTGCTTCAGGTAATGCTTTAGTGAATATATCAGCCAATTAATCACTAGATGGAACAAAGTGTACTTCTACGTTCCCATCTTCCACATGATCCTTAATGAACTGATATCTAAGTGCAATGCACTTAGTCTTTGAGTGTTGCACCGGATTATGACAAATCCTTATTGCACTTTCTGAATCACAATAGAGTGGTATCTTCTTCATGCTTAGCATGTAATATCTCAGTTGATTTTGAATCCAGATTACTTGAGAAGTGCAAGAGGATGCATCAATATACTCTGCTTCGGCTGTAGATAGTGACACACAAGTTTGCTTCTTGGACTGCCAACTAACAAGTTTTCCATCAAGGAATTGGCATCCACCTGTAGTGCTTTTTCTATCCAGTCCATACCCTCCTAGATCAGCATAAGAATAAGATTGAATGAAGAATCTGGTTCTTGCAGGATACCAGAGACCGAGAGATGAAGTATGCTTTAGATAACGGAATATGTTCTTCACAACAATAATGTGAGGTTCTCTTGGATTAGCTTGAAACCTAGCACAATAACACACTGGAAAACATAATGTCCGGTCTACTAGCTGTTAAATACATAAGTGACCCTATCATTTGACGATATTGTGTTATGGAAACAACAGGTTTATCGAGAGATGATGTTAATTTAGTGCCAAACACCATTGGGACCTTGACTTTTGAGTCGGCTGTCATACCGAATTTCGTTAGTAATGTCTTTGTATAAGCCTCCTGGTTGATAAATATGCCTTCTGTTCCCTGTCTAATGTTTAAACACTACTAGAAAAAAGGCCTTTTACGATGCTCATTGCGCGTCGTAAAACGCTCAGACGGCGCAAATGCGTGTCAAGGAAGGCCCTGTCATAAAGAGAGACGACGCGCTTTTGCGCGTCATTTATAGACGACGCGCATTTACGACGCACATTTACAATGCGCGGTTATGGCACGCAATGCGTATCAAGCAAGGCCCTGTCATAAAGGAAGACGACACGCATTTGCGTGTCGTAACCTTACGACGCGCGTGTTTATGACGAGCAATGTGTATCAAGCAAGCCCTTGTCAAGAAATGCCATGTCATAAATGAAGATGACACACATTTTTGCGTATCAAGGAAGCCCTTGTCATAAAGGAAGACGACACGCATTTTGCGTGTCATAATTTTAAATATTTTTAAAATTATATATTTTTTGATAGATTTACTAATTTTCAAATTAAATAACACATTAAAAGTCTAATAATGCAAAATAAAATACCATAAACACTAAGAATAATTCATTGCACTATTATGTCAAATACAAATAATCATTCCAATATCAAGTAAATGTAACACATTGCTAATATTTCATAATATTTATTATACAAGAAATATGAAAAAATTGAAATCCCTGAGATTAAAAGTACTAATAGAAGCTTCACGTGAGATACATACAGTTGGACCAGTAAGCAAGGATGTTCCCGAATCCATAATAACAGCACAAGAACACGTACGCGATATCTTCTGCTAGAAGTTGTCAATCCAAAACTATTGTTGAAGGTTGGCATGATAGCTATTAAGATTTGAGCATAACAAGAAACCAATCAATATTAGGAACTCAAAATTTACTGCCACCATTATCATGTATACTCTACACAAAAAAATAAATATAAAATGGAAATGAGTCAAAAGTTTAACTGTTTGGGCTATTTTTGTGTCTTTTTTTACAATTTAATTTCACCTTGATGGCATTCTTAATTTCTGCAAGAACTAATGGTATTCTTTTTACAACTTGGGCATATGAATACTTGAATGTATCACCTCAAAAAACTAAATTTACAAATCCCAAAATTGAAATTTTTAGGTAAGATAAATTGCATGATATAAAAATCAATTGATAAATGGCTTTTTATGGTAGGAAGGGCATAACCATCATTCCCGATATTCCTATGATAAACCTATAAAGTTCACATGAAAGCTCTCTCAAGGCTGTGGGCAAGTTTAGTTCAGGCTCAGAAGTAGGAATATCCAAATTTGGAATATCCCACTGTCAGATCAAAGAAAAAAGAAAATCAATTATTGAAAATTTTAAAATCATATTTCACAAGGAGTGTTAATACTTAAGGAACACAAAAGGGTACCTTGGGCGCAAAATCTTTGGAAACTAATCTTGCATACCTCTATCAAAAGGTAAAAGCTTTCAAGTGTATGTGTCACACATGAAACAAAACAGATAAAGGAATGTGTATATATAACATGGCTTTCAAAATTCACTTGATATTTACTCACTTGAAGATCTGCAAACACTTCAAATGGAATGTTGGATCATTTTCACTGTTACATAAATTATGCTTTCTAGAATTACTTGTGCACATGACAAGTTAGCACATGAAATTTGTGAATTTTCGGGCTAGTTTGCACTCTTGTACTAAGCTGAACTTCTGTGCTTGGAATTAAGTTAAGCCCTTGGTAAGGATGAAAATAGACTTCCATACCTGATTATAGGCTTATATCTCATGGAATTTGGAGCCTTTTTGAATTTATTATGAATTTTCGAAGTTGATTGATGCAAACAGTGGGCTGCATGGAGCAGTTTGCAAAGATTGGTACTTATACCCTTAAAGGAATTGGAATTAGGAAAAGTGGTCCAAAGTTCAGTGAAACTAGATACACTAACCTTTCCAGAAAACTATACTTCATGATTTTTGGACAATCTGATGGCCTTGTATGATTTTTATAAGATAAGGACAGATTGCAGCAACGTGCTGAAACATTTCATGACAGCATCAAACAAAATGGGATAAACAACTCACATAAACTCAGAATCAGGATAGGAAACCAAAGAAAAAATGTAGTAGAACATTCATACCTTTCCACAATGAAAACCCCATTAAAATTCTCAACCTAACACCATTGCCCTTTCTATGGCATGAATTACCATTCTGCCCTTCTCTTCTTCCTCATTTTCTGCTGCATTTTCATAAAGAAAAAAAAATGTGTGGTAAAGATGGTGAAAATCATGGTACTTAAGTGCTTCAGAAAATGATGCAAGAAAAATCACTCTAACAGAATACCAATTGAGAGTCATTCCATTCCATCAAAATCCTTTAAAAATAATGTTTGTTGGGATTTCTGCAATATTTCTGTAACTGCTTCATTCAAATATTCCCTAAAAATCATGTAGCTTTAATATAATCCACCTTCTATTGCTACAACTGTTCTTCTCATTTTCCCATTTTTTCCACTTTTAACCCTTCTACTTGTAATCACTGCAGTCCCGTCCCTACCAATCTTTTTCAAAATTCCCCCAATGCCCGCTGCTGCTAACCTTGCAGCTTTTCTTGTCACCACATCACATATTTTCACCACCAGTTTTCTCACTTTCAGTGGAACATCGTTTATCTGATAATGAATTAATTTTGTCAAAAAAGAAAATAAACCCAGATTCAAAAAAGTAGTTTTTTTTATATAGAAACTAGGAAAATCTTACATTTAGGGTTTCTTCAAGAATCTTGGCAACTTCACTTGGGTTTGGGGTGTCATCTTCATGCATAGCAGCCATTAATGGTGTACTGAGTATTTTTAAGAAACAAAATATGAATTTATCTTGTTTGTAATCCCATTTGCTGAGAACTTTTTATCAATCTAAACAATGCACTTTACATTTCTACCCCTACATTGGTAAAAAGAGTAAAGAATTTCGTTTTATGACATACCTTAACATGAATCTTGCTGAAAGCTTAGAGGAAACTCGTCCAAAAATATCTGATTCTAATGACACTTTGTGAATTACTCTTCTAACAATGTCACCTAAATACATTCCCGATATCATTTTCTCAAAACCCTGTATTATTAATCACAAAAATCATATCAAGTAAAAAATATGGAAATTACAGAGTAAAATTATCTTGGATAAAAATAATTAAATTAACCTGATCATTTGGTTCTGACTTTCTGCATCAAGATCAATATCATAATCAGTTCACTACTAGAAAAACAACCTTTTACGAACAAAACAAAATATACTGTAATAACAACTTACTGGCAGCTGGTATTCTGTTTTGGAATCTCTACGCCCTCCTCTTATGGCAAAATGAGCACAACCAGGATACTTCCCATGTCTACAATTCCTCCCTCATCAACAGTTTCATTTGCCAATATTTCATATAATTCAGAAATCAGTTGTTGCACCTACAAGTCATCAACAATGATTATTAGTATGAGAATGCCTGACAAGGGTATTCTCGTCTTTTGCACTTTTTTACCTCAAGGAATCAATAAGTCCTTTAGGTATGAGAATAACACCATATTTATAACCAAGATCTGCACGTTTACAGATTACATCTGCTATGTAATTTGTAACCTTTTTTAGTGTCAATTTCTTTGATGCAACCTGTAAGAAATATGACAAAAAAATAATTAGTGAGTCTCTAAAAAAAATAAAAAATAAATTGAATTGTGTACCTCTTCTCCAATAAGAGTGATGTTTGGATGAGTTTGTAAAGTACATTCTAATGTAATGTGGGAAGCAGCACGTCACATAAGCCTTACAACTGCATACATACAATACAACCTTATAATTAGCAACCATGTGAATATTCCTATTTCCTTGGTCAAACGTTGACCAAATTTATTTTTTTATTTTTACAAATTATATGAAAATATAATATTCCAAATAATGAACTAACAGTGATAATATTTCCATGTGGAACGTGCATCTATCATAACATTTCCCGAAATCCCCCTGAAATACATTTAATAAGAAAAACATGATTGCTGGATAACTTTGGTATGTGGAAAGACTGGAGCAAGTATACACCAAGTTAACACTTAACACAATTTACCATTCATTCTCCACAAACATTCAATTATTCAAACAATCTTAACATTCCCTTTTCAGAAACTGAAGATATCACAGTTAAAGAAATAGAATCCACCATAAACTCCCCCTTTACAGAACCTTTTATCACTTGAGGTAAAATGGTCAAGAAAAAAAGAAAAGAAACAGAACTTGTTGGTGTTGGTGTTGGTGATTTGACATGATGAACCTCCCAAGATAGGTGACAATTCTTTAGTAGCAACTTCTCCTCATGTTTGAATTTGTAATGCAAATGTAAAGAGGTTCTGAATCAAATGTATAAGATTATCCATAGATTTGAGCTTGCCTTTGCAATAGTATAAGCTGAGGGTCGAGCATTCACAGCAAGGGGACCTCTGCGAGGTGGCCCTGTTGGTCTTCCACCACCAAATGATCTTCCTTGACGTCGACCACCACCACCACCACGAGCCCTACCTCTCCCTCTATCTCTAATCTTCTTCAAATAGATTTTGGTGCGAGACTGGATCAGCTATTGATGCAATCGTATACGAATTGAAAAAATCAAGCAATTGAAAGAACTGTTATAGGATCGTTGGTGATCTAGGGTTCGAGCATGAGAAAGAAATAGGGTTCGAGCATGAGAAAGAACTGTTATAGAGATATAGCAAGGTACGAGGTGAGATCTAGGGTTCAAGCATGAGAAAGAACTGTTATAGGATCGCTGGTGATTGGATTTCATTGGAGGGTGGATATGCAGAAGATAGAACACGCAGTAGAGAAAGGCGGGGCAAGTTCTTCACAAAAAGCCCTGGCTCCGATTGGATTCCGGCATCGACGAGGCCTTTGACGCCGGTTTTTGTTTGGTCGAAAGCTTTGAGCTCTGATTGTCGATTGTAGCTTGAGCCCACTCAAGCAATGGTGGCAGCCATTTTTGTGAAGATGATCGTGTTATATATGCGAAGGTATTCTCTAGAAAGGTGAGTGAGCATCCTTGCAATTGTGGCCCTATGAACGTAAAGTGTTTGATTTCTTGTGAGAAATGAAGCGATAGAGATCGATCTATGGAGGATGTGGGTCGTTCTTTGAGGGATGAAAAAACCCTAGTTTCTTAGACTTTTTGAGTACGGGGTTTTCTAAATTTTAGATTCCCGCGAGGTATTAAGGATGGAACACGATGTTTGATGAGATCGATAAGGAGGTCAGGAGTGGCGGGGAAGCGGATCAGAGAGGAGAGAGAATGAGGGAGCGAGAGGGGAGAAGATGAAAGATAGAAAGAAGATAGAAGACGACTTTTCAAAATTTTGGGGATTTCGTTTCCCACCTCTACTAAACGCGCCTTTTCATTAAAATTATAAAGCGACAAATATAGAGGACGCACCATTAAAAGAAAGCGCCCTCCGTGTTTTTAATTTCTTTTCGTGAGACACTAATTTAAGGGCACTTAGTAATGCGCGACCTAAATTCTTAAATTTTTTGAAGAGATGACTCTTTTTTAATGTCGCTCTCTAATGCGTAACATAAATCAAAGAGCGTCGTGTTTTGCACGTCGTAAAAGGCTGTTTTTCTAGTAGTGAAACCAAGAAAAAAGTTAATTAGACCCATTGCGCTCATTTCAAATTTAGTCTCCACCAACTTTCTGAATTCAGCTGTTAAGCTAGGATTCGTAGAGCCGAATATGATATCATCGACATAAATTTGAACAATCATTAGATGTTTGCCTTCTTTCTTTCGAAAGAAGGTAGGGTCAACCGAATCTTGCTTAAATTTTGACATTGTTAGAAAATGAGTTAATGTTTCATACCAGGTTCTTGGAGCTTGCTTTAATCCATAGACTGCTTTATCTAGCACATAACAGTGATCAAGGAATTTCTCGTTCACGAACCCAGGTGGTTGCTCAACATAAACTGTTTCTTCTAATTCTCCATTCAATAAGGCACATTTTACATCCATTTTGAAAACTTCGAAGTTTTTATGAGCAACATATGCCAAGAAGATCCTTACTAATTCCAACCTAGCTACCGGATCAAAGGTTTCCTCATAATCTATCCCTTCTTCTTGACAATATCCTTTCACCACCAATCGTGCCTTGTTGTGAATTACATTCCCTTCTTTATCCAACTTATTTCTGAAAACCCACTCCAAGCTAACTATAGACCCATCCTTTAGTGTAGGTATAAACCTCCAAAATCGGTTCCACTCAAACTCATGGAGCTCATATTGCATTGCTTGGACTTAATCTGAATGATCTAGTGTAGCATTTACAGTTTTTTGTTCAATCTTGGAAACAAACGAATTAAACATGCAAATTTTGACTTTAGAGAACAATGTAGTTTTTTTCGCTTTTAATTAAGACCGAGTAAGGACTTTTCGTAAGTTTAAACAATAATCTGTTCTTTGGGATGGTCTTTGGTCCATTTCACCAATGGAGGATAATTTAGGTCATATGTTGGATCCAATTCAGCATTCACTTCGATTTCAGCTTCAAATAGATCACCTTCGCCTTCGTTAGTTGTACTTTCGGTCTCTTTCTCCCCCTCGACTGGTGAAGTATAATTTGTATCTTCACTGATGGTCGCACTCGGTGTAGGAGTAGAATCCTCCCCTCGGTTTGTACTACCGATAGGTGGATTTTGAACAGAACCATCTTTTGAGCCTTTATGAGATTGAGTTGAAAGTGGATCCTCCCCCTCTAGAGATGATTTCTTTGTTTCTGATGCTTTTGAGCTTTCCCCTTGGCATGGTTGATTACTCTTAGCAATTTGAGGTTGATCTTCCATTTCTTTAGCAGCTTCTTCAATAATCTCCTTGAGACTTTCAATTTTGTTGTCTGTGGCTTTCGCTTCTGAGATTGCTTCTTTCTCTGGTTCATCAAACAGTCGCATGTATTCTTCAAATAGGTTGGCTATTGGAACCGAGACTTGTCCTAATTCCGGAAAAATGTCTCCCAGGTTACCTTCACTTCTTTGAACTTTCTTCATGTAATTATCGTCGAAGGTTACATAATAAGTTTCTTTAATTCTTTTTGAGTGTTTATTCAACACTCTGTATGCTTTCGACGTGAGTCAGTAACCCAAAAAAATTCCTTCATCGGCTTTGACATCGAACTTATTTCGGTTCCCTTTGGAGTTGAAAATAAAACACCTTGAACTGAATATGTGGAAAAATTTGACATTTGGCTTTCTGTTGTTCAAGATCTCATATGCAGTGATTGAGAATCTTTTATTTAGTAAGGACCGATTTTGAGTATAACATGTAGTTGCAACAGCATCAGCCTAGAAATATAAGGGAAGTGAAGCGAAACTGAGCATGGTTCTGGAAGCTTTACACAAAGATCGGTTTCGTCTTTCAACGATTCCATTCTGTTGAGGAGTATAAGGGGCCGAAAAATTATGAGTTATTCCCTTGTCAGCCGAAAAGCTCTCAAAATCATTATTTTTGAATTCCAGACCATTGTCACTTCTGATATTCCGCACGATTTTCCTCAGTTGTACTTCCACTTGATTGATGAATGTTTCTAGCGTAGGAGTTGCATCTGATTTCTGTTTAAGAAAGAAAACCCAGGTGAAGCGTGAAAAGTCATCTACTAGTACAAGAATATACTTACTTCCACCAAAGCTTTCAATAGCCAAGGGTCCACACAAGTCGATGTGGAAGAGTTCAAGAGCTTCAATTATCTTCGTGTTGATTCGAGTAGGGTGACTCTTTCTGCTTTGTTTGCCCATTTCACATGCTGCACACAGATGGCCCTTGTCGAACTTGAGAAGAGGAAGTCCACGAACATGATCACCAAGCACCAACTTACTAATGTCTTTAAATTTCAAGAGCGATAGTCGTCTATGCCACAACCATCTATCATCCGTGTTTGCCTTTGTTAGCAAACATATTGTTGGTTTTCCTCGTATGGGATTGATATTTAAAGGATACATATCTCCCTTACATTCATATTGATGGGTTTTGAGCATTCTGACACTTCCTAAGTGTACATGCAACCCTAATAAACCTTGGATCTATTTTTGTCTAAGATACATGCAAATAATTATTTTTCCAAGGTTCATATCCTAACTAACATGGCATGGGGAACATGAATCAAATAAAGCTAGTAGAAATACTTACCTTGTAGTAGTAGTTGATTGCTTGGAGTTTTAGAGCCTAGCACCAATAGTGTGACTGCCTCAAATGGAAATCACAAATCACCACAAACTTGGAACTTTGAGAGAATAGTCACTACTATCTTGAAATCGGCCCTCACCTCTACAAGTGTCAACTAGTATGATTTCAAGAACCAATGCCTCCTTTATATAGTGTGGTGGATTAGGGTTACATCCATGTAAACCCTAATACCCATGTCTCTTCATTTCCATGAGATCCATGGGTTAAAGCTCCATGGAGTATCCATGGACTTTTCCATGCAAGCCTAGCCCATTCCAAATAAGCATTAGCCCACACTATATAAATATAGAAGCCCATATTTAATTAGTAATATCTTTGATCTCTAAATTAATCCTAGATTAATTATAGATCAATACTAATTAAATAATATGATCTTATATTAATATATTAGAACTTATAATATATTAATAAATCATAACTTTTACTATTCTCAAATATTATCCATAAATTGTTCGGGTGAAGTGCAACCCAAATGGACCATGCCGGGTCGGGTCAAGTAAATACCAAATATAGTTATGGACTTAGACACTATATCCAACAGTCTCCCACTTGGATAAGTCTAATAACTATAGTTGCAAGTATGACTTCAAGAACCATCCAGCAATCGTAGCTCTTTAAACTCTGTTGAACTAGAACGCGCCATTTTAGATAAGTGATCATATAATCCTCTGCTCAAGATATCAGGCGGACAAATACATGGAACATGGTCTTACTTATTGTCCAGCATTTGTTTCCCGATTTCCGATTTGTATGACATAGAACTTAACTGAACACATCAATTTAGTTCTGAAACGGGCCCGGTACATAGGTCAAAACACAATCATCGAGGGGGCCATATATCAGCTTCTAATCCTAGAA